CAGAGCTGCTGAGCACGCGTTAGGCACCAAACGAGTGAACTTAAAGCAGAAAGCTGTGGGAAAGTTAGAAATGATTGCTGGACCGGCCTCTCATCACGTAACGACTGAAAACCACATCAATTTGGTGGGAAGAACACCTGATGTAGAGCAACAAAAGTTCACTTCATTGGCACATCTGTTGAAGATGAAGAGCAGCAGGTAGCATATCAGTTAAAATCAAGCTTGTTGAGCAGTGCCAATATTGACGGATCATATGACTGTTGATGTTTTGCACGTAAAAAACAAAACGAAAGTCAATGAGTTTGCCTGCGGATTACGATCGGCAAATCATGCCGAATCCCGATCCCATCTAAACATGAATTCGCAGTGTATAAGTTTTCTCCAAGTTAAAACTTTTCGGTTATTCACCAATAAGTACGTTTAGAAGATAGTATACAAGACTAAGAATGTATGCGAGAATGGCAGAAGCTTGATAGCATCTCATGCTCCGCTCTTAAATCGCACTTCAAATTTCGCGTTTCAGGGATCAATGTACCTCTTCAATCATAAACCCTGCTTAAGCATTACGTTGATAGGGAGGGATACCAGCACAAAATGTGAAGATTATTAATTATTGTCAAAAATGCCCTCATATTACACCACCCACTTCCCTTTGCTAAAAGTATGCATGCCATTGACTACGGATAAATAAGTAATATTAAATTACCGAAATTCATTTTGACGATTGTCATTGCCGTTTTAGCGTGCCATAGCCATCGCACTTGCCACAAGTTCGTATAGCAGTCAGGGACACGACTAATGCTACGCTTCGTTCGCGAACGTTCGTCTGCTCTAGGCTGAGTGGTTTCACCCAGGCTCGACAGTGCAGACAAAACCTTACATCATCCTATGCCTACTTTCTTCGCATTATGCACTACACGACGATTTCGTACATGCCTCGAGAAGTACATTACGTCGCAATCCAAGCGATAAATATTCTAATGTTTGCCTCATAAAAACGGTTGCCGTTACCACTACCAAATCCGTAGATACCGGTATGTAACCAGATTTCGTGGCATCGATTGAATCTGCTGCAATTACCTCTGAGACGCAGCGATTTGTAGGCAGTGGGGAGGGGGGTTTGATTTTCAATTTGCATATTATGATGGGTCACAACCATGTGACGGCTTTGTGTGCAAAAAATGTAGCAATAAAGAAAGTTACAGCACCATCAGCAGCTTGAGCAATTTCGATCGATTCGTAAAGCATATCGTTTTAAAGTACAACTTTTGTTTATGCGAGTGGTTGCCTTCAAGCACATTTAGTAATTCACCGCATATATGCAAATACGTGCCGATTGACTTGGTGCGGTCTAGGTCGAAACGGAGAGAAGATCAGTGGTGTCTGGAAATTAAACGATGATGCAAAAATTCCTTATATCCAGGTTGAACATTGAAAATAGGTACAAAGTACTGAAAGGTACAATTAACATTGCTTCATTTTTCAAAACAAATTATTGCCGCAAATATCTCTAGCTTGTTTACTTATGTTATAGTTGAGTTTCATGCAGGAAAGTTATTTGGAGGAGGGATCACCTCAATTAAACAGAAAGCCATGCTGGAGGGGCCCTTCTTCCAAGCGAAGTGAAAACATTGACTTATTAAAAATGGGAGACAACAAGATTCAGCAAGAAAGATCAGCTATCTTTCAAAGTGTTTGCCCGTTATGTTCAGTCTAATGTAATTCTGCCCTTCAGTTTAAAACAAACACATGACCCTCTCGACTAGGCAAACGCAACTGTTGAACTCGAGTCAGTCATAAAATAGAACTTCAACTTCTACTGATCTTCTTGTAGTAAGATATGTAAAGAAGTTACTGCATGTATTAATCGCAGCGTCCAACCAACGACTATTGCACCTAACCCCACATGTCCGAAAAAGAAAATCGACATTGCATTTTCAGGATTGCTAGTCTGGCGCAGTGGCGCTAACACCTCACAGCATATGTATCTTATAACGACATGGGTCATAACTTTCAGATTAGGCCACTGGCAAACTGTGTGTAAGAAGTGTGCCTCTAAGGAAGAAGAATGTAAGAAAATCAATATCGCATTTCAAATATAAACAGAGTTACAAAAATCCAACAATCAGTTGAAAATTTGGAAAGACATATAAATCTATATTTCGCAGTAAGAGCTGATACTCTCAGACAGAGGGCTGGTCCGAAAAGAGAATAGAATAAAACAGCAAAACTGGGCAGAAACAGAATTCTTCAGGCCATAAGGATTCCTCAAGATCAAAACAATGTTTAAAACAAAGCTTGATGCCATCTACCCTATGAACAAAAGAATGAGTGCATTCAAAACTAAGAAAACTAACTATTTGTACTGTCTAGAATAGGTTTCAAGCATTTCGTTGTCGAACTCGTTTACCTGAATGTATTATCTGATAATACTCTCATTTCGTTCATTTTTATTACTACTGCAATAAGTTCCATTCTAAACATTCAAGAATGAGAAGGGAAGGAAATCGATTCCCTGTAAACCTTCATCTGGGGCACTATCGCGTCTTGGTATGATCATTTGAGAGTTTAGGGTGCTGTGCTCTAATGACTATAATGTGTATTTACGTGTTTGGCAGCTGATACCATAAGTATAATAAATGGAATTAGTAACATGGAGCTCATTCTCATCATCTTGATCTCACATATGATGACAGCAGGCTATAGTTTCATGAAATTTTAAGACCTTCAGCACGTGACTACACGTCTCGTATCATTTTATTTACTAGAAAGAAGAAATAAAGACATCACTGGCTACCTGATATGCTGATGATGACACTGGGACAACCAGATGTCATGTGAGTCAAGGCGACGCGTACTCGTAACGACCACGCCATGATCAACCACTCAACCACTCCAGAAGAGTACACTGTGGCTTGTTCGTAAGTCAACCATCTGCCACCGGTGTGTGAGGCAGATTCTTTACTCAGAGAAATTCCGGATTAAGACAAAGATTGTCGATTCTCCGGCGGAGTTAGAAGACGACCTCTTTGCGATCGCAAGTCTAGTCTGCGCGTTACGATCTATTTTTCAGGAATTTCTGGTACAGTCATAATTAATATGTATGGGGTCGTGTCGTTTGAATTTGTCAGGTGACAGAGCCCGCTTCCCTCACGTATTATTCACTAGGAGTATATCATCAACGACCACAGGTCAGCAAGATATCTAGCTGGATATCTTGAACTGCGCCTTCGGTCTGGAATGAAG